TCTGTATCCCAGTTTGTGCTAGCCTTCTTAAGGCAAACTTGTTTAACTTATGTCTGTACTCAGATATTGTTGCTTCCGCTGACTCGTCTATGATCGAGCTCTTATATTCGAGCCCTCGAGGCCCCTGGCTTGTAATATGATGCTTGCATGACTTATTTTATTGTTAGAGTTGTGTTGTGATATCTTCCCATGAGTCCCTGATCGTGATCGTACATGTTGCGTGTATGATTAGTGTACGATTGAATAGGGGGCATCACAAGTTGGTATCAGAGCCGACTGCCTGTAGGAATTCCCCTTCCACACTCCTTGGCCGAAGTTGAGTCTAGTCGATGGAATTTTTTTACTAACTTGGCTGTGCGGCCCATGGGCCCACGTCACCATTGGGTGGTATTAGGATATTTTATTCCTCGTCTATACTCTGGGATTCTGCTCTCTCTTCTATTCGGGTTAAATGATCTTACAAATTATAACTCTAGGTTCTCGTCACCACTTTCTCCCGGAGAGCCCCTTCCGTGCAGATGATCGCCAGCTGCACCAGAAGATTTCGAAGTTACTCTCCGATGTTCCCTCGAGACTTGGTGCCCGTTGCTTTTGCAATTCCCTATCATCGCTACCCCTATGGATAACCACGTACACTTGCCATTCATACAATCATTCCCCGTTGATCTTGTTATTACAAGATACCCCGAAATTGTCTCTATTATTCCGAGTATACTTTGTGCCTACTGCCTTGCAGTTCCTTGCCACGTAAATACCCCTACAGATAATTCCTCGCACTTGTCGAGTATCTGGTCATCCCTAGTTGTTCATGTGTTTCACAAAAGACCTCGAAATACCATTCGATTTTCTGGAAAACCTTAGCAGCCCATTGCTCTTGAATTCCTTGCCTGCATTATGGTTAATTCCCTAGTAATCTCCGTTGACATCCTCTGTCACTATCATTTCGAGTCACTTGATTCGATATGTTGCGAATGCTCACAATCCTCAATCGGATCATAGGATTCATCCTTCCGGCTCAGACGTCATTTTGAACATGAGCTGGTCCTCGACCAATCAAGTTGTCGTCGAATGTACCCCTAAGTCTATTCAACGTATGCATCCCTAATCAGAGCATTGCTTATGATCCCTTGTTTTGGAATTCATACTTCCTTTGCAATTGAGCTTTGAATTAAGTCAGATGTTTCTATCATCTGATCTCCTTGCATTCTTTCTTCTTCTGGTTGAGTACCGATGCTCGCATCAGATCCCTTATGGACCACCAGATCCTTTGTTGGATTTTATCCGACAACGTCCTTTATATTCAATAACCTTGTGAGCCTTTCCACGGGTATATAATGACTTTGGTAAATTGTATCCTCTTCTTTGTCAACCATGCTCTACTTTTGAGCTTGTGTTATTTACTCCTGAAGTTTGTGGTATATGTTCTAAGAAGCCCCAATGGCTTGAACCTATGCCTTCCTTAATACGATGAACTTGAAGGTTTTCACGAGTCCTACTCTTCTGGTATTTTGCCAGATAAAATTTCAACACTACAACTTCTTCGAAAATGAGAAGTGAATGAAAGGTCATACATTGGAGAAGTGGGAGTCGACCTTAAACTTTGTGTTCATGCCCATGGACAAGATGTAGATCCTACCATAGAAGCTTCTTGTAATAATAACTATTTCGTTGATATAATATCATCTGGTATCTTTGAATTGATCCTATGCAATCGTGGTTCCGACCATATTTTCTCTTTGATCCCATTTCTTGGACAAGTTACATCACTTGTCTTTTGCAAGTCATTACACCAGTCCAACCTCTACGTTGATCTAACGTCAAGTATTACCGTCTGGTATCTCGAGAATATCTAAGAACTGTGTTGCATCTTATGAGTCTTCATCAGCTATTATTTTTCACTGATTCCAATTTTTCATGGGTTTTGAGTTGTTAGTTGCTCAAGAACACCGGTAAGTGAACCGATCCGCACTCTGGTTCGATAACTCTAAGTAATCTTCGTTGTTTATGAGTTTAATAATCCTTCAAGACATTCCTAGCCCGATCGGCTATATCATTATTGTGCTAAAAATTTAACTGTGCTACCTGGTCCTCCTTTCCGGAGCACAATTTTCGACGATGAGCTAACCTTACATCGATCTCCCTCCTCATATAATTTCGCCATAAAAACAGTAAGCTTGATTTCGAGTTTGTATCATATCCGTGGCTCCAATAATCTTTTGTTGCATCTGTCCTTTTGCTTGATGCAGTCGCTATTCAATTACTTCTTCATGGATCCTCTCGACAACAAATTGTCGTGATCATCATCAACATTTTGACTCCTTCCAGGATATCAATTGTATTCATGATGAGAAATACCATCCTTGTCCCTTGGTAATTTGTATTGTCATCGACTACTTCCTTGCCTTCTTCCCAACACAAACTTGTTCGTGTTTTGTGTATACCTTGAGATCCTTGCTATCCAGCATTTGTTCTCCTTTACCTTGGAGTATTACCATTTTTTATGTCAAGAATGTTGATAGAATTTGACCACCTCTTAAGAAATTCTTGATATAGTAATACTTACCGCCATCTCCATTCATCTCTTGGTCCCCATGTTGTTTCCAATCGGAATACCGACGATTGAACTGTGAGGTGTAAAATTCTAAACTTCTAGCAACCCTATTGCTTGTAAGTTAATGAATGATAGTTTCATTCTTTGTGTATTGGTTATTGAAACACCATTCTAAACATTTATCATGCTACCTAAGCCCATATTATGGGTGCACCTTTCAACCAATGTTTAATTGTGTGTGTGTTTTCCTCGAGCATACATCATTATACCATTTGATTTGACAAATGTTATCTCCTTGTTCACATGATTGTGGAAATCCATCTTTTGGAAATCTTGATGAATTGTCGTTTAGTTCATCAGCCACCCCCTCATCCTCTCCTTGGTTTAATGATGAACTCTGGTTTCAGAACTCGCTTCCCTAGATCATTTCCGAGAATCTCACAATGGCATCTCGTCAAATTGTGTTGCACCTTTTCTTCTCAGGCATCCTGATGTCTGAGGTATCCTGACCCCAATCAGATCTGAATCTCGGTCAGATATGATGGTTGGAACATATTGCCAAGGGTTATAACATTGGTCTTTATATGACTCGGTAAGGTGATGTCATGCCTAGCACACCTGACCGGAGGACCTACTGTTATAATTTCCTTTGTAGCAAGGATATCCATTCTTCCATGAGGAAATTGTAAGACTTATTTTACAAGTTGTTCTTGATGGATCCTTCGTATATCCGAAGTCTGACCTTTGCTTGAAGACCGTGTCAATGCTATCAAGAAGCTTGTCTGTGGTACTCCGATTTTCAACAAGAACATTTGAAGCCCAATGCTGAATGTTTCTTGCTCAATTATCCAAACACCGTTGTATGGGTAATGTCTTGAAAATTCTCTCCACTCACCTAAAGGATTTTCTACATTATGTCTTGTCACAAATATCATGCTCTGCCTGTCCTTGAGAAGGATATACCCTTGAAATATGTGTTTAAACACATTTTCCTTTCCATTGCTCTCTTAAACCGGACAATCATCGTTTCCTTTCCATTGATTGGTTTAACCTTTCATGTGATCTATATGATCTAAGCAGTAATATTCTCCTGCTTTTGTAAACACCTCGGTGTACAATTCTGTCAAAAGGACCCTGTTACTTTTGTTGATGAAATTCCGGTAACCACCGATGGACGCGAACATTGCCGATTGGTCTGCCTCGTTCAACGAGCAAGAAAATGGTTCTCTTCGTCCCTCGCCCTTGGTACCAACGTTGTTGCCAACATAACTGACAGGTTGTCCTCTGACCTGCCTTGCTGTCATGACCATGCAAATGATAGGACCCTTCCCGCTTTCAACCCACATGGTGGGCTCATAATCCACAGTTCCACAGGATCGAAACCTGACTCTCCTGTACATCCCTGTCTTCCAAAATTGTTCCTCACACTTGGCTTCGTATGCAATTCACGAGCCACCTTCCTTGTGATATGTTCTGGTATCAGATGCAATACTTATTCCCATTACTATGAACCCATTTCACCCTTCGTTTCAGGTAACGAACGGTTGCCTACCCAGTTGAAGCTCCTTATTGCACCTCCTTACCTTGCTCTCGATGACTTGCTTGAATTTCAACTCGAGAGATGCCTCTATGCCACGTTCACCGAGATAGCCCCCAGGTACCTATCTTGTGTTGAACTCCGTCCTTCCCAAGTCTTTCCCCCTTATTCTGCACCTTAAATCTCGGGACGAGATTTCTTGTAGTGGAGGAGAATTATGACGCCCTGATAATTAAGCTACAGTAATTCCCTGCTAATGATGCAACGTCATCATGATTACTGTTGTTAAACTCTCGTTAGTTCGAACCTGGTCCAAATTCAAATTTAACTTAAAGTCCAAAATAAAAGTTTTCAAACATGAAAGCTAAAATGTTCAAAGTGTGGCAAATAATCGATGGATATTTGTCATGTTGGAACAAACCTCTTTTGGATTCCGAAGGTGCCCCTGGAAATTATTTAGTGGTCCAACATCTTTTGAAATTGACCTTTTCAATTTCTAAAAATGGTTAGACAACTCCTTTTGACCCAATACTTTTTGTTCCATCTCAATATATTGTGTTAGAATTATGTGCCACGTTTCGCTCAAAACAAAACTCTTTTGGTACAAAAAGAAAATGCAAACATAGGCAAAAAAAGGAGTTAGACAAAAGAAAAGGAAAACCCCGATCAGCAAAAGAAAACAAAACCCCTCCCCACTAATTCCCCTGGGCCTTGGCCACTGGACAGGCCCAGCCCACCGCCAGGTCGTTCCCCTTCCTCTGTTCATCGGGAGCTCGTGGACAGAGGGCGGCCGTACACGGCGCCTATGGCCACGGGGCGGCCATCCACTCCCCTTGGCGCCCTACAAGGTTGCTCCCTCCCCCCCTGCGAAACCCTAGCCCACCGTTTTCCCCTCGCACGTCTCTCTCCCTCTTAATTTCGTCCATGCCGGGGCGCAACCGTCGTCGCGCCGCCATCATTGTCGTCGTCGACGTCCACCACGAGCCGCAACGAGAAGACAAGGAGGTGGGCACCAGCGTCCTCGACACCTGAGTAGAAGGAGTTGTACTGCAGAGTTCCGAGCCTCGCCATCGACCTGTCTTCGTCACCACGGTCGTCGTCGCCAATTTCGTCGATCCGCTCGACCTCGTGCTTCCCCGGCTTCCCCGAGACCACTATGAGCACCAATGTGAGCATCCGGTCGTCCCCGACCCCCTCTTCCTCCTCCCCATGCCCCTTAGGCACCGATTCATCGAGCTCCGCCCGTTGACCGCCGTCGCGTACAGGCCTCTGGCCGCCTCGCCTCTGACTGCGCCCAAGCGTGCGTCCGCGTGCCCGCAACCGCGCTCGCTGCAGCACCGCGGCTGCCCCGCGCTCGCCTCGCTCGTTACCGCCGGACCACGCCTGCTCCGGCCTGCCGCCGACCGCGTCGTAGTTACCCCACGCCCTACCCCCGTTCTCCCCTGCTCGCGTGCTGCTTGCCGCGGCGGCTGCACTCGGCCGCTGCTTCTCCTCCCCCCCCCCGCCTGCTCCCACCGAGCTGGCGCCCAGGGCCGCGGGCGCTTCCAGCGCGCCCCTGCCGGAGGCCGCCGCCGCTGCTGGTTGTGGCCAAGGCCACCGGCACACTCCGGCGCCCGTGTGTGCCGAGCCGGCCCCTGTTTAGCTTAGGGACAACCCCCCCTCTGATTAGGCTACCCCCTGCTAATTACATACTAACTAGTGGGCCCCTTAGATAAACAGCTCACCAAATCCCTCTGTTAAAGTGTACAACCAATGACATGTGGGTCCCCCTTATTTTAGATTAAAGGAAAATCATTTCATAAGTCATTAGGACACTTACATGTGGGACCCCCCTGTACTATTCATCTGTTGGGTCAACTGGGTCCTCTGGACCCATCTGTCATCCACTGTGGCTAGCCAACAGTGTGTGCACATAGAATTTTCTACTTAATTTCGAATTTAAATTTATTTCAGAAAATACAATAACCTTTGAAAATTCATATAAAATAAACCGTAACTCGGATGGAAAAACTTTGTACATGAAAGTTGCTCAGAACGACGAGACGAAAATCCGGATGTGCAGCCCGTTCGTCCGCCACGCATCCCTAGCATAGCGAACACGCAACTTTCCCCCTCCGTTTCATATGCCCGAAAACGCGAAACACCGGGAATACTTTCCCATATGTTTCCCCCCTTCGCCGGTATCGCTTATCCCTACATTAGGTCACCCCTAGCACAACGTATTGCCGCATCTTGCTTTGTGTTACATTTGATTGCTTTGTTATTTATTGTGTTCCTCCTTTGTTACTTCTTTTCGGTAGACTCAGAGACCGCTGCCGATGTCCGTGTGTTCGACTACATCGGAGATGACCCCTCCTTCTTGCCAGAGCAACCAGGCAAGCCCCCTCTTTGATCACCAGATATCGCCTATTCTTCTCTCTACTGCTTGCATTAGAGTAGTGTAGCATGTTACTGCTTTCCGCTAATCCTATTCTAATGCATAGCCTGTCATTGTTGCTACAATTGTTGATACCTGTACCTGCTATCCTAATGTTTAGTATAGGATGTTAGTGTTCCATCAGTGGCCCTACACTCTTGTCCGTCTGCCATGCTATACTACTGGGCCGTGATCACTTCGGGAGGTGATCACGGGTATATACTATATACTTTATATACATGACACAGGTGGTGACTAAAGTCGGGTCAGCTCGTTGAGTACCCGCAAGTGATTCTGATGAGGGGGCTGAAAGGACAGGTGGCTCCATCCCGGTAGAGGTGGGCCTGGGTTCCTGACGGCCCCCGACTGTTACTTTATGGCGGAGCGATAGGGCAGGTTGAGACCACCTAGGAGAGAGGTGGGCCTGGCCTTGGTCGTCGTTCGCGGTTACTTCAAGATAACACGCTTAATGAGATCTTGGTATTTGATCTAAGTCTGGCTACTGGCCTATACGCACTAACCAACTACGCGGGGACAGTTATGGGCATTCGACGTCGTGGTATCAGCCGAAGCCTTCGTGACGTCAGCGACTCAGCGGCGCGCGCCGGGTTGGACTGGAACGCCTGCTCTTGTATAAGGGAGGCTAGGTCTGCTCATCGACCGCGTACACAACGTGCAGGTGTGCAAAGGGCGATGGGCCCAGACCCCTGCGCCATAGGATTTAGACCGGCGTGCTGACCTCTCTGTTGTGCCTAGGTAGGGCTGCGACGTGTTGATCTTTCGAGACCGGGCATGACCCAGGAAGGTGTGTCTGGACAAAGGGGATCGGGCGTGTTGGGAAACGTGGTGCACCCCTGCAGGGAAGTTAATCTATTCGAATAGTCGTGATCTTCGGTAACAGGACGACTTAGAGTTGTACCTTGACCTTATGACAATTAGAACTGGATACTTAATAAAACACACCCTTCCAAGTGCCAGATACAACCCGGTGGTCGCTCTCTAACAGGGCGGCGAGGAGAGGATCATCGGTTAGGATTATGCTTTGCGATGCTACTTGGTGAACTTACCTTCTACTCTCTTCTCCTGCTGCAAGATGGAGGTTACCAGAAGTGTAGTCTTCGATAGGACTAGCTAACCCCCTCTTATTCCGGCATTCTGCAGTTCAGTCCACATATGATACCCTTATTCCAATTGATACCAATGCATACATATGTAGTGTAGCTCCTTGCTTGCGAGTACTTTGGATGAGTACTCACGGTTGCTTTCCTCCCTCTTTTCCCCCTTTCTATACCCGATTGCTGCGAACAGACGTTGGAGCTCAGGAGCCAGACACCACCGTCGACGACGACTACTACTACTCGAGAGGTGCCTACTACTACGTGCAGCCCGCTGACGACGACCAGGAGTAGTTTAGGAGGATCCCAGGCAGGAGGCCTGCGTCTTTTTCAATCTGTATCCCAGTTTGTGCTAGCCTTCTTAAGGCAAACTTGTTTAACTTATGTCTGTACTCAAATATTGTTGCTTCCGCTGACTCGTCTATGATCGAGCTCTTGTATTCGAGCCCTCGAGGCCCCTGTCTTGTAATATGATGCTTGTATGACTTATTTTATTGTTAGAGTTGTGTTGTGATATCTTCCCGTGAGTCCCTGATCTTGATCGTACATGTTGCGTGTATGATTAGTGTACGATTGAATCGGGACGTCACAACTTGTTGCTCTAGGATGAAGGCTCCACACCTTCCCCTTTCATGCAAATTCAATGATAATAAAACCTTAGCTTCTTATGCTAATGGTATATATGATTACTATGATGTGGAATAAATAGAAGAATTTGTTGTTTTTATGGGTTCTTATGAAATTGAATATGTGTGTAAAGAGTTTGAAGATTTTGATGATGCTGTTTATAGATTTGAAAATTTAGCTATCCTCAAATATTGCTATGAGAATTATGAATACAATTCCGAAATTAATGCACTTATTGAGAAAGTCTCCGCTGTCCAAGAAGAGACTAATATTTTGCAGGAGTCTATGGAAGAAGAAATTGATGAAACTGTGAGCTCATTGGATGAAAAAGATGAGGAAGAGAGCGAAGAACAAAAGGAGGAAGAGCGGATTGATCAGCCGTGCCCACCTTCTAATGAGAGTAACTCTTCAACTCATACATTGTTTAATTCCCCTTCGTGCTTACCAAAGGATGATTGCTATGATGACTGTTATGATCCCTTAGATTCTTTTGAAATATCCCTTTTTGATGATGCTTGTGGCCAAGATGCCAATACGAATTATGCTTATGGAGATGAACTTGATATAGTTCCTTATGTTAAACATGAAATTGTTGCTATTGCACCCACGCATGATAGTCCAATTATCTTTTTGAATTCTCCCGACTATGCTATATCGGGGAAGTTTTCCCTTATTAAGGATTATATTCATGGGTTGCGTTTCACTACTACACATGATGTTTTTGATAGATATAATATGCATGTGCTTGCTGCTCCTACTTGCAATTATTATGAGAGAGGAACTATATCTCCACCTCTCTATGTTTCCAACACGAAAAAATTGCAAGAAATTGTTTATACTATGCATTGGCCTTTACTATGTGTGCATGAATTGTTCTTTTATGACATGCCGATGCATAGGAAGAGAGTTAGACTTCGTCATTGCTTGATATATGTTACTTTGTGCTCACTACTAAATTACAAATCATTGTTGATTCAAATTGGCTTTGATATACCTTGGGATCCGGGTGGATTCACTACTTGAGCACTATATGCCTAGCTTAATGGCTTTAAAGAAAGCGCTGCCAGGGAGACAACCCGGAAGTTTTAGAGAGTCATTTATTTCTGTTGAGTGCTTTCATATAATTTAAAAACAACAAAAATAAAGAGGGGAACCCAAAACTTTTTCTAAAAGAAAAGTGAAAGTGAGAGAGACGAGCATTGTGAAAGTGGGAGACGTCCTTGAACTTTGTTCATGCCCATGGGAACTTTGTGAATCTTAATTACAGAAACCTTTCAACAAAAATAATTATGCCCTTGTACAATTCCATTGTATTATAAAAATAATGTGCCAAGTTTTGCCTTTAGGATGTTTACATTTGCTTGATGGTTTGTATGGTGCAGGACAGAAACTTTGGCTTAGTGCGCGATTTTACATTTTTTGCTGGAATGTCAAATGGTTCTGATTATTTTTTCACTGTCTTACTATAAAATTTTTTATTTTTCCTAATTTTGGTAGAATGTTTCAAGTATCAGAAGTATGGTTAATGTTCAGATTATTATAGACTGTTCTATTTTAGACAGATTCTGTTTTTGATGCATAGTTTGCTTGTTTTGATGAAACTATCAATTTATATCAGTGGATTAAACCATGAAAAAGCTATATTACATTAGACACAATGCACAAAAAAAATATGAATTGGTTTGCAATAGTACTTAGAGTAGTGATTTTCTTTATTATACTAACGGATCTTATCGAGTTTTCTATTGAAGTTTTGTGTGGATGAAGTGTTCGATGATCGAGAAGGTCTCGATGTGAGAAGAAGGAAGAGAGGCAAGAGCTCAAGCTTAGGGATGCCCGAGGCACCCCAAGTAAATATTCAAGGAGACTCAAGCGTCTAAGCTTGGGGATGCTGGAAAGGTATCCCCTCTTTCTTCAACAAATATCGGTATGTTTTCGGATTCGTTTCGTTCATGCGATATGTGCAATCTTGGAGCGTCTTTTACATTTAGTTTTCATCTTTCTTTTATGCACCATGA